TTTATTTATTCATTTATTTATTTATTTTATGAAAGGAAGAGAAAGAGAAAAGGGGGAGAGAGAACAGGAGTCTTGCTGTATTGCCCAGGCTGGAATACAATCTAAAAGTAGGTATTAAAAACCTCTTTTATGCCGATAATTGTGCTTAACAGTGGAGACAGGAAGGAATAAGGAAAGAAAATAACAAACAGCCAACCAATATTTTATTTAAATCTGTGAAATGCTATGCAAATGCTAAAGAGTGATTTGTTTCCATTTATGTGGTTACTTTCAAAATAGATGTAATGTGATACTAAAAAAAATGTATGTTCTGTGGACCTGGGATGAAGAATTCTATAAATATTCACTGAGTTTACTTGTTCCAGGTCTGAGTTCAAATCATAAATGTTCCTGTTAATTTTCTGTCTCGTTGATCTGTCAAATATTAACAATGTGGTGTCAAAGTCTCCCGCTATTATTGTGCGGTAGTCCAAGTCTCTTTATAAGTCATTGAAAACTTGTCTTACGTATCTGGGTGCTCCTCTGTTGGGTGCATATATATATTTATGATCATTGACTCCTGTTGTTGCATTGATCCTTTTATCATTATGTAATGTCCTTCTTTGTTTCTTTCGGTCTTTATTACTATTAAAGTCTATTTTGTCAGAGATGAAAGTTACAACTCCTGTTTTTTTTTTCTCTCCATTTGATTGGTGAGTCTTCCTCCAACCTTTTGTTTTGAGTCTTTGTGTGTCCTTGCTTATGAGATGGATCTGGATACAGAGTGCCGATGTGTTTTGACTTTTTATTCAGTTTGCATGTCTGTGTCTTTGATTAGGGCGTTTAATCCATTTACATTTAGGATTAATATTGATATTTGTGAGTTTAATATTGTCATTTAATGCTAGCTGGCTATTTTACCCATTAGTTGATATAGATTCTTCATTATGGAGATACTCTTTACCTTTTGGTAAGTTTTTGGGATGACTAATACTGGTTTTACCTTTCTGTGTGTAGTGCTTCTTTCAGAAGCTCTTGTAAAGCAGTCCTGGTGGTGATGAAATCTCTGAGTGCTTGCTTGTTCATGAAATATTTTATTTTTCCTTCATATGTGAAGCTTAATTTGTCTGGATATGAGATTCTGGATTGAAAATTCTTTTCTTTGAGGATACTGAATATTGACCCCCACTCTCTTCTAGTTTGTAGGGTTTCTGCTGAGAGATCTGCTGTGAATGATAGGCTTCCCTTTATGGGTAACCTGACCTTTCTCTCTAGCTGTCCTTAGAATTTTCTCCTTTATTTCAACCCTGGTGAATCTAACAATTATGTGTCTTGGGGTTGCTCTACTTGAGGAATATCTTTGTGGTGTTCTCTGTATTACCTGGAGTTGAGTATTGTCCTGCCTTACTAGGTTAGGAAAGTTTTCCTGAATAATATTCTGAAGAATATTTTTGAACTCTTTTAGTTTGATGCAGTACCGATCTTTTGAGGCTTCTAATTAAGATATTAAATCAGTTTTTTATTATATGTGAATTAAGTAATTGCTTTCTTACATTTGCTTTTGATTATGTGTAGAGACATATCTATTTAACAACAATATGAATATTTACTCTGAGTCTAAGCAAAGATGATCAAGGAGTGGTAGGAATGTCGTTGTTTCTGGGAACTTTTTGTTGGTCACAGAATAATTTTCAAGTGTGACAAATTAAAGGAACTTAGGTTGTTTCTCAGACCCATTCTGTCATCTGCCTTTTTATGATTTTCTTGATTTTATCACTGGAGCATTTATCAAATCTACTTTTTTTGGTCATACTTTGCTTAATGGTGTACAAAAATAACTACAAAGATGTGTTTTAGTTTATTTTTTCATCAGGCAACTTTGAAAATATACAGAAAATAAATTAATAGGCCAGTAGTCACCCTCAACGTAGTTTTTTTTTTCCTGCAAAATAATGAGATATCAGTCTACAATGTAGTACCTTATCACATTCATTCAGTAGAGATGATTGTCAGACAAGGGAGGTGTTATAGAAAGTTTAACCAATAAGAGTGCATCCTTAAGGTAGCTTTGGAGACACAGTAGAGGTGGGCATGAGGTAAAATGGCAGTTTGTAAGGGTGTTAGCAAAATGAGCCGAAGTACCTTTAAGGTCTTGCATTTGATGAAAAGCCACTGAGGTACTTTAATGGACAAGAGTAACACAACTAAAGTACATTACGAACACTATTTTGGTAGGGAAGTTCAGAAGACGTTTGCTCAGGGCAGTGTTGATGGCTGGAAATTTGCTGAAGAGCAGGTTGCAGTAATCTGGTGGGAGGTGGTGAGTGGGTTAAGGAAGTTGTGGTAGAACTAGAGAGCATGCAGAAAGAAGTGTTCTGGGAGGCAGTTTAGCTTAAGGCATTTGGGGAAGAAAACCATGCCAAGTATCATACATTGATTCAAAATGTAGTCCTGTTTGGGGGCATTTTGATGCTATTCTAGGGATTGGAATTAAATGAAAAAATGCATAGTCTATGCCAGCTCCAAGCTTGCGAATCGTCCCCCCTCCCTTTTAAAAACTATAAATAGAACTTTGGAGTAGGAGTATAGGGAAATTTAATTGTTGTTCAAAAATGTATCACCCATTTTTTCTCTTTTGGCAAAATTGCCTTACTCCTTTCTTTAGAGCCATTTTGGTCATCACCGAACCGCTCAAATCATTTAACATCATTTTGTATGCCAAAACTCCATTGAAATAATCGATTGAAAAAGATAAAATTGCTCTTTTTTTAAAGTTCTTTTAATTTGTTTTATTCTTTATAAAAATGCTTCCTGTTACAGTTCTTTAGCTATGTAGTGAAGACCAACCAGGATGTGATAGCTTCCACTCCTTTCCCCCTCCTCCTCCGCTGTAACCTTGGGCACTACTGGAGAATTATTGTTTTGTTAGCTTGCCTCTACAATAATTTACCTCCCCTCTCTGAAAAGCTTCAATGCTAAACAACAATGTAGAGCATTCTTTCTTGCAATAGACGCTAATTGTGTTCTTAGTTGGGATCTTGCTCTCATAGCCACAATAAGTGTGTCAATTGTGCGGGGAGGCTGGGTCACAGTGGTTATTGTACCGAGTGATGAATGCTGCTTACTTGTGATGTGTTGCCACCCGCATCTGTGGGTGAGAACACGCCGTTACTGTAATTTGCCTGGCGAGTGATCAGACTGGTATAAAATAACATCATCTGTTAAGCAGGATAGCAGTCACAAAGAACTATTGGCCTTTTGAAATATAGAATTTTTAATGAGAAACTTTGAATAATAGAGATTGAAGATGTGAGAACAGCTACCTAGCGTGTGTTGCATTATTAACCCCTAGTTTGTAGTGTATTCCAGAGTCAAGTTGACCTACATAGAAGAGAAGGAACTAGGAGTGCATGTCTGTGTTCTGGCTCAGATTGGGAAGAGCTGCATAAGCCCTGTAAGTTAAGGTTGGTTAAGTGACATACGAGACTGGTGTCAACTGGAAACCAGGTTTTACAGGGTCACGAAACGTGTGGATTCTGAAAGTGTTGTCATTGTCAGTGTAGTTTCCTTGCCTAGTTCTTCCATATACCTAAGGAAAAGATAGTTTTAATGTAATTGTTAGAATATCTTGGTATATAATAATTCTTGCTGAAGTAAAAGAAAACATTTTGTTTTTTGAGTAGACTTGATGATGTTTTGCAAGGATCTGAAGAATTCCAATTTGGAGCTGATTATTATCCTGACTGTCCACATCACACAGTTTTTTCTCTCTCCATCCTACTGCCCATTTTAAAGCACTTCTCAGCTGTCTGATTGCTCATTAGCATTGCTCATTAAAAGTGGTCTGGGGACATGTATTTCAAAGCAGTCCTTTTAATACTTGGTTTTTCAAGTTTTGTCAAATTCACAGTGAATACAAACCAAGTTATTTATTGAAGTTTAGCCTCATTTATATTTTTTATATCATTCCTTCTGCTTAGTACATGTCAAAATGGTTACTTTTCAGAAAAGTGAATTTTGCCTAGCACATTGATTTGTCATGATAGATTAAACCATATTTGGTGTGACTTAAGCTTTTATGATTTGGGATTTTTGTGTGTGCACAACCCCAAAAATATGGAGAGACAAGGGATGGTAATTTTGGAGAGGAGAAGTACATTAATGAGACAAATGAGGTAATGTAAGAATGAGATCTTCTGCCTGTGGCTGATGTAATTCCTTTCTGTTCATTATTTTAATTTAATATCAAAATCGTATTAAAGTAATGACATGTATATTCCTATCTCTAAAAGTTAGTCACATAAATAATGTGTATGCTTAATGCCGAAAATTTGGAAGTTTTTTTAAAGAAAAAATCCAAGTGATCACAGATAGTCTCTGTACCTGCCACCTGCGATAGTCATAGTGGTTGTTAAGTTCTGGTATAGATACTGTTCTGTTACTTTGTACACCGTTTTCCTTTCAACTTTGTTTTGGACTCAAGGCCATTTGGAAACACAATAGTCATTCTAAGTTCCTCCCTTAATCTGGGTATGAATTGACGTGAAATGTTATCAATATTTTCTGATATTAAATGAGTAGGAAAAATATAGAATTACATATAGTTAACATTAACATTTCCCATATTCCTAAAGATTATAAATTTGAGTTTCTCTCTTGATACTAATCCTTTTTTATATTGCAAAACAGTAAATCTTTATGTGGAAATAGAAAATTGAAAACATAATGTAGAAACTCGAAGTGCATTTTCATTATTATACAGGCATGTTGGCTTTAATCAAAGTAAGATTGATGTATTTTTTAAAAATGAATGTATAAATAGAGCCCTATTTCACAAATTATTTGTTTTTTATATATTTTTCTTTAAATAAGTGGAAGTCAGTTAAGATAGTCTTATGAAAAGTTGCTTTGTCTCTCGATTTCTCTCTCTCTTTTTTTTTAATCTCTTCCCTTTTTCCTTCGGACAAGTCAACATCTGCTTCCATGTAGCTAACTGGTGCTATTTTCTGCTTCTATGACAGCTAGCCGATGGCGGAGTCTCTTCTCTTCAACTGCCTCACTGGCTTTTCCTTATAGTCCCGTTGCAAGACTCAGCCCTTATAGCAATGGCATTAATACTCCCAGCTTCTCTAAAACCTCAAATAAAGCAATACTAACACCTGAAAAAACAGGTAATATTTTAACTTCTTGACTAGCTGCTTGCTTTGTAATTCAGTTACTAAACACAGCTTACATATTCATCTTTCATTGAAAAGCTGTAGAATAATCTTAGAATGGAGAATTTGTGCTGCCTACTTGGAGTACAAAAAGACCTAGCACTACTTTGTACTCTGATGCCATTGATCTACTGCTCTCAGTCATATGTAGCAGATTGTCTTCCCTCTTTAGCAAAAGCATATGCATGCAGTTCTGTATTTCCAAATGCTTAATGTGCTTTTAAAATTAAATGTCAGACACAATTTAGGTAGTTTTTAATTATTGAAGATTATAAGCCTTTATGTATATTTTTATATTTTCTGATAGCTTTTAAATTTAGCTAAGACTGTGGAGAAGAAAACAGTCATAGTGGCTTTTTATGAGATGAGGATCTCACCATTTTCTTATTTTTCTCAGCATTGGTGTGATTCCATTCCTATAGCCTTCTTCTATTTGTTCTTTGGTTCTTTTGTCTGAAGCCACTGATTTTTTTTTTTTCTTTCATGGGTGGCTATAAGTCTCCTGTGACTACTCTCTGGTCTATATTAGGTGGGTTTTGTATATGTTTCTGCATTTGTACGTGCACCTTTTAGATGTGAGATATTCTTACTCATTTGTAGCACTGCTGTTTGTACTCATTAACAAATGGACCAGATTAAAATTTAGTTAAAATTATATAGTCTCTTACTGTCAGACAAGTATGTTTTATTAATAAAGTAAAAGTGAATATATTCTTTTTTCCCCCCTCCATGGAACTGCCAGTAAAATGAATATGTATGTTCTTATACCATGCCTTTAGATATATATGTATCTAATAGGATGCAGATTCTAGCAGTAGTTAATTATTTTATTGTGATAAAAAATAATGTGAAATCTACCCTCTTAACAATTTGTTTAAGTGTATAGTACACAGTGACTTTTTAAATTGTGAGAATTGAATTTGAAAGCAATGAACAAGTGGTTTCATATATATGAATTGTGAACACGTGATGTACACATGGACCATTACATGGTGACATGTTGGTGATTTTTGTAACATGAAAACATGAGAAAAATTGCTGACCATGTATATATGAATTGTAAAGCCTATGATCAGCCCTACAGATGAAAGAACACACATTTCCTTTGTGTTTCAGGTTACACTTCCAGGGGCTCCCCGCTCAGTCCCCAGTCATCTATCGACAGTGAGCTGAGTACTTCAGAACTGGAGGATGATTCTATCTCCATGGGATATAAATTGCAGGACCTCACTGATGTTCAGATCATGGCTCGTCTGCAAGAAGAAAGTATGTGTTCTTTCTAAACTAGAAAAATGAGGCTTCCACTTGGAATATACAGAGGGAGAGGGAGGTTTAGGCATTTTTCTTCAGGTAATGGGCAAATAATGAGATTCTTTCTCTCATGCTGTCCTGCTTTTTAGGTGGTGCCAGTTATATGCTTCTTACACTATCATGAGGTGGTAAGACCTAGTCTGATGAAAATACATTGATTCATGGACATTGCTGGTATTGCCACTATGGAAATAGGTGGACGGTTTTCTAAAAAACTAAATGTGCAACTTCCATGTGACTCAGCAAACTGCATTCTTGGATATTTATCCCAGAATAGTGGAAATTTGTGTTCACACAAAACCTTGTACATGAATGAATGTTCTGAGCACCTTTATAGCCCAAAACTGGAATTAGCTTAGATGGCTTTCAGTAGGTAAATGATTAAACCAATCATGCTACAGTCATACCATGGAGTACAACTCAGCAATAAAGAGCAACAAACTGCTGATACACACAACATCTTTCTTGAAGTTCCAGGGAATCATGCTGAATAAAAACTGATCAAAAGAGAGTGCATTGCATTATTCCACTCATATAACATTTTGAAATGTTAGAAATGGAGGACAGACTAGTGGTTGTTGGATTTAGGGATAGGGCTTAGGGCCTCAAGAGGGTCTTGAAGCTGGATGTAGTTATAAAAGGGCAACATGAGATTTTTGCAGTGTTGGTACTATTCATTGGTGGATCTTGGGACCTGCAGTTAATAAAATTGCATAAAGCTTAAAAGCTTAATATTCTTTCTCTCTCTCTCTCTCTCTCTCTCTCTCTCACACACACACACACACACACACACACACACCCTCCCCACACACATACTCTTTTTCTCTTTTTGTCTCTCTCTCTCACTCACACAAATAAACCTGGGAAAATCTGAATAAAATGGGTGAGTTATATCACTGCTAATACCCTGGCTGTCATAGTATTCTATAATTTTGCATAATGTTACCACTGGGGGAAACTGGGCAAAGTACTTTTTGTTGTTGTTGTTGTTAAGCACTGGATGTGAGTCTACAGTTATCTTAAAATTTCAATTAAAATGCATTGACATACTTCTCAGGGTAAATAATTGTGAAAAAGTAGATAAGTAGAAATAGGATAGTTTATCACTGGTTCTTTGATAAAGTTACAGAAAATAATCTGGGAGTGAGCTAGTTGAAGGGCATTAACGGCATCAAAAGGCACAGAACTGGAATGTTTGTTTCTTTTCAGCCAACCTAAGTAGAAATAAGTATCATTTAAGCATAATAATTTCCTGCTTTCAGGATTAGTCAAGGCTACTCTGAGAAACTTGGTAATGCTTATGCAGGATCTAATAAGATACAATTTTAAGGGGAAATATAGCTATTTTATATCATTATTTAGTAAAAACAAATTTAAATACTCTTTTTGAAATATATATGGCTAAAAGATTCTATGTCAGTTTCAGAAGTTAAGTAGTCAGGGCTAGACCACTTTAAAAAAACTGTAGTACTGACAATGGGGTAAATAACGAGAACTTTGTAGTTTCACTATTTTTAGATGATTATAGGATGTCCTAAAACTATTAGAAATGTTGAAATGTCAGTGTGCTTTGAAAGAGATAATATTAATAACATAAAAGAACAACAGAGAGATGACCTTGTGGGAAAATATTTGTACCTCAGCTTTTAAACTTTCCCTTTGACTTTAAAAGTTGGGGATGGGTAGTAGAATGACTGCCTACTTTTGTTTTTTTTGAAGATTTTAATTGTTTTTAACTCATAGCAAACTATTCATAATGAGATGAATATTTCTTTCTAAGTTCCTCTTCTAAAATAACTCTTGATTTGAAAAGGGATCATTTGGGTACATGGATAGAAATTAATGAATGAGCTGTGGCAGATATATATAATCTTTGTAGGTATTGGGGCAATCCTTTTGCAAAAGAGAATCGTCCAATATTAGATATCTGTTTCATTAGGCAAATGTGATTATTATCTTTGGATTTAGTAAACTTGAGAGCAAGATAATAAGTTTCTGTGAGTAATCTGTTTGCCACAATTTTTCATCTAATATTTGATTAATTATAACTTAATGTTAGCTAGATCAAAATACACTAGAGCACTTTTTGTTATTTTATAGGTCTCAGGCAAGATTATGCTTCTACTTCAGCATCTGTATCAAGACATAGTTCCAGTGTGTCATTGAGTTCAGGAAAAAAAGGGACATGTAGTGATCAAGAATATGACCGATACAGTCTGGAAGATGAAGAGGAATTTGATCATTTGCCACCACCTCAGCCTCGTCTTCCGAGATGTTCCCCTTTCCAAAGAGGAATTCCCCATTCACAGACTTTCTCCAGCATTCGGGAGTGTAGGAGGAGCCCCAGTTCCCAGTATTTTCCTTCAAATAATTACCAGCAGCAACAGTATTATTCACCTCAAGCCCAAACTCCAGATCAGCAACCAAATAGGACCAATGGAGGTAGGTTGTATGCTTTTTTGATATTTGATATGCTTTGGTCTTTACTATGTTTTTGTCAAGAAATATCGTTTTTGTTTTTGAGACAGAGTCTGGCTCTGTCCTCTATGTTGGAGTGCAGTGACACAATCTCAGCTCACTGTGCAACCTCCACCTCCCAAGTTTAAGTGATTCTCCTGTCTCAGCTTCCCAAGTAGCCGGGGTAAAGGCACGTGCCACTATGCCTGGCTAACTTTTTTTTGTGTGTTTATATTTTAAGTAGAGACAGGGTTTCACCATGTTGACCAGGCTGGTCTCAAATCCCTGACCTCTAGTGATCTGCCTGCTTTGGCCTCGCAAAGTGCTGGGATGACAGCCACCATGCCCAGCCAAGGAACAGTTTTAAGAGAAATACAGATAATTGGTAAATGCTTCCAGATTTAAATTCATCCTCCAGACCTCCTCGGTTTGGTCTAAATTTGCATCTCTAATTGACTGGCTTCTGATTACATATCCCAGATTTATAAACTCACAACTTCAAGAAAACCTCCATGACATAGCTGGCTCAGAATGACTTATAAATGTGCAGCATCTCTGCATTGTTGCTGGTGCCTATGGCACAGGCAGGGTTGTACAAGCTGAGAAGTTCGTAGTCAAGCCCATGGACGCAAAGGCTGTGAGTTGTGTCATTCCTCACCTTATGTACAACCTTCTGTCTCTTACTGCCTGTTTCTAGCACAGAGTGATGTAAGCACAAAAGATGTTGCTTGGAGAGGATGCTGCTCTTACACAGCCAGATTTAGGGAAGTTCGGGATGCATCTTTCCCTTCAATCTCCTGACACCTAGATTAAGATCTGTGTAGTAGCAGGAACATGGAGGCTGCTCTCCATTAGCATTTGGCATGGTAATGGAAGTTGATCTGTCTTGTCAACATGGTGGGTTGCTGTATGTGTCATTCTTTCATACTTTTTCTATCTCTTCATCATTTTTCTTTCTTCCACACTCCCAGTAGTTAGACTCTGACTTGCAAGAACTATGGGGGAAGCAATCATGTAATATTCTAAGTCTTGTATGTTTTCGTACTAACGATCACCTGGACTCTCACACAAATTCTGTATATTATGGAGAGATAAACCAATTAAAAATAATTTATAGTTCCACAATTACAGTTCTTATTTATTATATGTCACCAGTTCTCAAAGCTGGGCCCAGAAGTGATCAAATGTTCTTTAAAAATATCTCTAGGCCAAATATAAATGTTGTATTTGTGATCAGCCATTGTCCTGTATTTAATTTACCTTCTCTTCCTTTGTACTTGTGTCATTCATGCTGATGCTAATTGAGAGATCATTTGAAAATATTTCAAATTTTATATTCATAATTTCTCTTACTACCTTGAGATTTCGAGTTTAAAAGAGTGGTGGCTAAAAAATGTCATCATGACTAACATATTCAAGTTCATAGCATCAGAAAGACAATGTATTCCATATGCTTAGTGGAAGTCATAGCATCTTATTAAAATCGAGACAGGAGACCTAGAGTCATTTCTCTAAAGCTTTTTTTTTAAATATACTTGAGTGATTCAGAACATCATAGTCAAGTTGTCAAGCAGATGCTAGCACTGCATCTTGATTGATATTAATAGTATTATTTTCCTCCAATCAGCTGTTTGTTGCTCCTCAGAAAAGTGGTATTTCACTTCCATCAAATGCCATTTGAAAAGGATTAGGTTTCTGTGAAACCTATGCTGGAATATTCTTCACAGGAAAGTAGAGATATACCTTTAGAGAGGTCCCTTTGTGGTAGGTTTATTTTGCCTAAAATGTCTAGTTTCCATAATACAAGAAAAATGGAATACAAAGGCAATTTTCTGGATGTGACTTCTGACTAATTAGCTTAATGGTTGAGAGCAGAGGCTCTGAAGTCCAGTAGACCCTGAGAAGCAAAGCTGAGAAGTTTCTCAGCTCTCTCAGGTTTGGTTTCCTTAACTAAAATGTGGAGAAGATCATATCTGTCTCTTTGGAAACTTAGATATAATTTCATGCCAAACCATCTGACACACATTTCCTTCACCTAAATATAAGAGGTAAATGAAATAATGAATGTTAGTTCCATTGCCTGGAGCCTGGAGTAGATGTGCTGAATAAAGGTTGTTTTCACCCCTTTTGTTTTTAAACTTTTATTATCATATGATTCAGATGTTCCAGCCTGCCTTTGTTACCATAGAATATTGAGCAAAATTGTGAAATAAGAATGGTCACCTTGAAACTAATCTATCAAATATTTTTCTAAATTATTAATATAGATAGGCAAAAATAATTGTTAAACCGTTGATTCATTTTAAAATAATTGAGAATAAACTAGATATGTATGTTAATATTTTCTGCTTTAATATTTCCTACACTGCCCAGATTTAAAGAGATGGCTCATAAAACTTTCTGCGATATTTCTGGGAATCATAGAATTAAAAGAAGCATATCTGGAATAACTTGTTAAATATCAAAATGACTAAACTTGTAGAATCTTTGCCAACTTTCCCATAATTTCTAGGGTATGGCAGGGATTACTGCTGGTGTGATGTAATCCTTATTATCATGAGGGCCTCCTCTGGACCCTGGGCTGACTGGATGTCTAGGTCTTGCTGTTTGTTGGATAATGAGTGTCTCTTTTAGTCCTAAAGATTCCCGAGTCTTTGTTTATAGTGTGGTGAGTCTTGCTGCCTCTTTAATGTGAGCAAACTCATTTGAATTCTTTCCTTGGTCCATTCTACCAGTTTCCTGCTGCATCTCAGTCCTTGAAGATTAAACTGCTGATTTCTTATGAAGATAGAAATAGAACATTACTTTTGGTTCCCTGAACGTTAAAGTATATGTGGTCATTAAAACATTTCACACTGTTTGACAGGACATATACCTCATTTCCAGATGGTCTGACAAAATTGGAGATCACAGCTTCATTCCAAGGGGAATAGTGTCCTAAATATTTATGCTTGGAAGACCTTATTTTTAAGAGCATATTTCAAGATTAAAGCTTTCTGAAACTAACTCATTGCTTAAATATGAGTAAAGATTGGTTTTAAAGACTAACACAGGTTAGAGACATAACCAAGTGTAGCATGTGGACCTTGATTGGATCGTGGTTTAGGGGAAAAAGCTTATGAAAGATATTCTTGGGATGTGTGAAAAATTTTGTATGCAGATTATCATATAATATGATATTGTTAATTTGTTTACATGTGATTACAATATTGTGATTCTATAGAATTTTCTCATTCTTAGGAGATCAATGTGCTGCATTTAAAGTGTTTAGGTGTCTGAAGCTTTTATATTGTTAAGCTGAGCAAACAAATATATATATGGAGATAAATTAAATATAACAAAATGGAACCAACCAGTATAACCAGATGGAAAACAGATGGCTGTTTGATACTAGTTTAAAACATTTCTGTATGTATGAAAACTGTAATAGTAAATAGAGATTTTAAAAAGAAATATAGAAGTTCAATTAATTTTCTTAATAGCATATAATTATGTTCCTGTGCCTCCCTGCTGCTTAAAAAGATATAATTGGAAATATATATTGAAAATAGTCTAGTACTGATAGAGGCTGACTTTTTTACACTACTTTTTGTGATATTCAAAAGACCTAGATGTGGCCACTAAGATTATGTAGGGATGAATCCTTCTAATTCCTCTCTTCTACTACACATGGTCTGCCAAAACATACACATAATATTTGCTGTGTGAGGCTGGGAACGTTAATAGGAATTTGGGAATATGAGACATATGATTGTTGAAAATAGGCTGCAAGAAGATAATAAGGAAAATTGTCAAGGAATCGAACAGTCAGTGGCAATATTTGAGCATCCTTACTCTAGAATTATGCAGAGAAAGGGAAGAAGTGTGTGAGTGGTAGATACCTCCATTGGGAAGTACATAGAAAAGCTTCTCTATGGTGGGATAATTGTGCCAATTCTTAAAGTATTAGAGCCACATAAGTAAAATACTCTTTTCTACCATAGCCCTCTCTACAATTTCTTATGCGTTCTTATTATACATATCATCTCAGTATACTTATGCTTGTTTACTCTTTTGTCTTTTCCACCCTAAGGGGGCAAAAATTGCTGCATATGACAACATTCAATGAGTATTAGTAATGTCAAAGGAGCAGTTTACGAAGGCAGAATAAGAAGAGTTGAGTTTGATTTTGACTTGAATGCCTTTTGAATTAATATTCAAGTATATTCTTATCTTCTGGTTTTGCTTGACAGAAAGTGACCGTAAGATTGAGTGCTCTGATATGTGCACTTTAGTGTTTTGGGGTATATATTAATAAAGATAAAAATATCTTATAAGTTGGAGGGGTAAAACAAATTTTAGATATTAAAATGATTTATGATCTTCCATGGTTTATCCCTATCAAAATATTATTCTTTAATATTTATTTTATTTGGGAGAAAATTTAAGTTTAAATTTATCTTAGGTTTTCTCTTTAGAATCAGTGGTGGCATGGGGAAGGATTGAGAATCTCTGGTCTAGACTATAAACCTAGACCATAAATCTTGACTATAAATGAGACTCAAGACTGTATCTGCCTAATACACTGTGGTATCCCCAACAGCTCATAGGGTGCCTGGCATTTAGTGTAAACACAATAAATATTTGTTCCCTTGCTCATTTGTTCCTTCTCCAAAGCAGGGGGTGGGTGTCCACATGGAGAGACCAGCATGCTCACAGGTATGAGAGAGTTCTCCTCTGTGTTTGGGGAGCAGGCTGAAAGACAAGCTGGAGAAGTATAGAGCCTGTGCCTTGAAGGCCTCATCTAGGCTGTGCTTAGGAGCTTGGGCTTTCAGAAGAAAGGAGCAGGGGAGAAATTGGAGTTGGAGGGATTTCAGCAAGTGGGTGACTAGCTGTGTTCTGTGCTCTAGGAAAAGTGGAATCAGCTGTATGGGAGATTGGATTGGAGAAATAAGACACAAGGGTACATGAAGGCCAATTAAGAGAATTTTGTGAAAATGTAGGTGATAAATAATGAGGTCAGAACTAGGTGGTAGTGGAAGATTCACTAAATGTTTTTGAGGCAGAATTAACAGGACTTGGAAAGTATGGTGCAAAGAGAAGGTGAATCCTGAGAGACTCCTATACTTCTGGATTAGGTGATGTACTGGACAGGGCTAGAGTTTATGGATCTAAGTAATGTAGAAGGAGTAGTGTATGAAGGGGAGAAGGAAATGAATTCAATACTTGGATTAGTTTTGTCCTTGAATTAGTTATGGCTTACTACTCACATATATGCTTTTCTCCCTCATCTATGCATTTCACATATATGCTTAAATGACCTGACATAGGTACTTTAGTTTTTTGGGGGGATATGTATTGATCATGAAAAAACTGTTTTATAGCTGCTGTCTTGTGACTGGCTTATTTCACATCTGCCATCTTATGACTGGCTTATTTCACATCTCAACATTGAGATCTGTGTGTGACTCTCTGCTGCCTCTTGGTGGCAAAAGATGAACTTAGCAAGTTCAAAAAATAGAAGCATTCTCTTGGTCTTTTTTGTTTTCACACATTTGGTGGCATACTCATGAAAGTTAAAATTTTTCAGAGATTAATGTGGTCATGTTAATGTGATTAGTGGATATTTCAAGACATCTCAAGTTTGAATTTTATTAATTTGTTCCATTTTGATATGGTAACAAAAGATTCCGTAAATTTTGGTTTTGATTCTTCTAGGTTTCTTTTTTATTAAAGAAGCATGTAACTTAATTTCTAGGGTTGTTTTGATAAATTAAATGGCTGTAAGATTATTTTCTAACTTTTTAAATATATTTTTGTCCACTTATTGAATAGGAACAAATAGCTAACTGATTATCTAGTCCCTATGTCTTTTTACACATTGTATTAGTCATGGTTCTCTAGAGGGACAGAACTAATAGGATAAATGTATATGTGAAGGGGTGTTTATTAAGGAGTATTGACTCACACAATCACAGGCTGAGGTCCCGTGATAGGCTGTCTGTAAGCTGAGGAGCAAGGAAGACAATTGGGAGTCCCGAGTCCTCAAAAGTAGGAAAGCCAACAGTGCAGCCTTCAGTCTGTGGCCAAAGGCCTAAGAGGCCCTGACAAACCACTGGTGTAAGTCCAAGAGTCCAAATGCTGGAGAACTTGAAGTATGGTGTTCGAGGACAGGAAGCATCCAGTATGGGAGAAAGATGAAGACTCGAAGACTCAGCAAGTCCGCTCCTTCCCCGTTCTCTGCCCTTTTATCTTAGCTGTGCTGGCAGCTGATTAGATGGTGCCCACCCAGAATGCAGGTGGGTCTGCCTGTCCCAGTCCACTGACTGAAATGTTAATCTCCTTTGGCAACATCCTCATAAACACACCCAGGAACAATATGTTGCATCCTTCAATCCAGTCAAGTTGACACTCAGTAGTAGCCATCTCACATGTTTATTTGGTGGAACCCTTCTGGGTGGGGAGTGCTTTTTCCTGTATAGCAGGTCAGAAATCTTCATCATCAGGACGTAATTGTTTTTATATATTATGGAGCACAATATGACTTTTGTTATTTGCTTTTGAAAGCTAGTGTTTTGGTTGCATAACATTTGTCATTTTTAATTTAGTAAAATTCTTTTCCAGATAAGCTCCGAAGAAGTATGCCTAACCTAGCCCGGATGCCAAGTACAACCGCTGTTAGTAGCAACGTTAGTTCTCCAGTCACCGTGCGAAATAGTCAGAGTTTTGACTCAAGCTTGCATGGAGCTGGAAATGGAATTTCAAGAATACAATCTTGTAGTGAGTACAATTATTTGATATACTTATATATTGTATAACTTTTATAATTTTTAATTGTAAGAAACATATCTGTTTCATTGCTTTATATTTACTTGCAAGCACACTAAACTTTTCTCTTTGTTCTATAACTTATTTTTTTTAATTTCACCTTTAGAGTTGAATAGTATTTTTACCAGTGCCTGTGGTATCAATCATAGTAAATTGTTAATTTTTTTAGTGCTTGTTTTGCAGCACATATACTAAATTGTTAATTTTGTAATAATAGTAAATTATTTGTAGTTCTTTATATCCAAGGATAGTGTAAGTACTACCTGGTGATTGATTTATCCACTCATCATACAAAATTTTTTTTCTTTGTAGATCCTTCTTTCTAGCTCTCTACCTGAATAAGCACACTTAATTCTGTCTAGCCATTACTTTTGTCTTGTTTTTCACCCGTGCATACTTTTATCTTTTTTCCCTTTATATGAAGTTATATTTTAATATGTCTAAAGTAGTTTTTATCCACTCTTTAAGTTTACCACATTCTGTTACTTACTTTCTATGTTTTACCTAGCAGTGACCATTAGGCCTAGTGCTGTGTATCTTCACTTTATGTGGGGATGTGCTGCTTCTGTATCCCCCCTTTCCTATTTATGCTGTCTATATGGGTTGTTGCAGTTAAGTCTTACTCCGACCTCTAGGAGGAAGGCATAAGGTCATAGTCTCAGTATTCATAAAAATGCCCAAACTTGAGAGGCCTGAGCCATGTACTGAGTGTACTGGCCAAGAGTCATCAACCGGTTGTCTGAGTCTGCATCCGAAATGACTTGTAGCCCTTTTCCCTCAAACTTAGTTTTGGATGTCAAGTTGTATTTCCCTAACATGCAGTGGTCTTTCATTTCATGATGCTTTAGTTCCTAACAACAAAGTGGCATCATTTACCCTGTACAAAGAACTGTACTAACTAGTTTATATTCATTTTCTTACATAGTTCTACCAACAACTCTATGCATTAGTTTCTACTGCCACTCTTATTTTGTGGAAAAGGAAACAGTTTTGATAGGTTAAGGAGCAGTTTGTCCAAGGCCATGCAGGTAGAAAAGGAGAGAGCAGACCTAGATCTGATTACTCCCCAGAGCTTATGCTTTTAACTGCTGTGATATTCTAGCTCCATGTGCTGTTCTCTCTGCCTAGCATTCTTCCTATTCCTTCTTCATTCAGTTTACTCTTACTGACTTTTATAATACAGTTCAAATACCATGCCCTCAGAAGTCTTCATTGCTTCCTGGATCATCCTAACACGCTTTCTCAAATACCCCCAAACAATGCTAGAACGGATTAGATTTTTGGTGCTTACCTCTGTTATTCCATGTACCATGTTTCACCATCAATATATTTGTTTTCCTTATTAGATTGTAAGCTCCCTATGGGCTTGGACCATTATTTATTCAACTTTCTGTTCCCTGTTCCTGATGTGTCGCCTGAACACAAGGAACTCTCAGTGACTGCTTGAATGAATGAATGAATGCCACAGGATTCTATGTTAAGGCTCGAACTGTTAAATATTTGAATCAATGATCGTATTAACACGCAGAAACAACTTATGAAATTTGCTCATGGTAGAAACTAAGAGGACTAATAACTGATTTTATGTCAGGAGGCTAGGACAATGGGCCAATTGTATCATGAAGAAATTTAGCTGATAGAAATACACAATTCTATATCTAAATTACAAAAATAAATAGTGTGCCAGCCTAGACAATGTGATGAAACCCTGTCTTTACAAAAAATGCAAAAACTAACCAGGCATGGTGGCATATGCCTGTAGTCCTAACTACTGGGAAAGCCAAGGTAGGAGGATCACTTGAGCCTAGGAGGTTGAGGCTACAGTGAGCCAAGATTGCACCACTGCACTCCAGCCTAGGCAAGAGATAGAGTGAGATCCCGTATTGAAAAAAGAAACAAAATCAATAGCGTAAGTGTACAATGAGAGAAATACAGTTTTGAGAGTAGCAAATATGGTAACAATTAGGAATTTTTGTTGACTCCAACTCTGTGTATTAATAGCATATTTGAGTGCTAGAAAAATGTACATCCCAAAATAGAATGTACACTGCAAAGAATGTTCAGCTTTGATTGAAGTACCACCAAAATGACAGGAAAATGTGAAAAGGATACAGGAGCCAAGTTGAAGAAACCTCCCAATGGCCAAATTTGGGGTAGTTTGAGCCACAGAGAAAATAATTATAGTAATGAATTATAACTGATGAAATAAAATAAATATGCATAGTTCATACTTAATTGGATAAATAAATACATAGAAAAAGGGGAACATCTTCTTTGTAATAGAATTCCAATTCATGCATGTAAAAGAAATGAGGAAAAGAGAAAAATCATCATTTGTAAGTCAAGCATAATAAGAGAAAGCCCCCAAGAAGAATGTTAATGTGTAGTAGAAGGAAGACTCTCATAACTTTTTGTTTCAAATCTTAAGATTGTACTCTTATTTTCTCTCATTTAAGAGCATTCTAAACCACTGTTCTTTATGTGTTCTAAGTTCATATCTTGACAATTTCTAGTTCTGGACCACTTTGCTTTCTGGAAAGAACAAAGGTGGGGTAGATAGTTGGAAAGGCTGCAAGTGTAGAAGGAAGAACACAATTGTAGTCAAAGACCTGGTTTTGGGTGTTTTCTTAACCATCAACTTTTTGGAAAGTTAAGTATTTTTTTCTGAGTCTTGTTTTCTCATTTGTAAAATTAGAATTATGCCTATTAATTTTAACTAGTTTCTCTTATACGTCTTTTAAAAATCAAGGGTGGTTTTACATATATATAGAAATATATATGTATTATCCTAGTAAGAGTCCTATTGTCTCTCCTATCATTATATATATATATATATGATGAAACCCTGTCTTTACAAAAAATGTAAAAATTAACCAGGCATGGTGGCATATGCCTGTAGTCCTAACTACTTGGAAAGCCAAAGTAGGAGGATCACTTGAGCCTGGGAGGTGGAGGCTACAGTGAGCTAAGATTGCACCACTGCACTCCAGCCTAGGCAAGAGATAGAGTGAGACCCTGTGTTGAAAAAAGGAAACAAAATCAATAGCATAAGTGTACAATGAGAGAAATACAGTTTTGAGAGTAGCAAATATGGTAACAATTAGGAATTTTTGTTGACTCCAACTCTGTGTATTAATAGCAGATTTGAGTGCTAGAAAAATGTACAATACATATATATAGGAGAGATAATAGGACTGTATTAGGATAATGCATATATATTTTATCTCTCCTGCACATTTTATATATATATGTTTTCAGGAATAGGGTCCTATTTGTCCTATTATCTCCCCTACACATTACATATATATATATATATATATATATATATATATATATATATATATACATACACATTATATATATAATATATTTTTATATATAAAATATATTATATATATAAATATATCATATATATTTATATATATGATATATAAATATATCATATATATTTATATAAATTGTTATATATAAAATATTATATATATAATGTGTATGTGTGTGTATATGTATATATAATGTGTAGGAGAGATAATAGGACTAATAGGATCCTATTCCTGAATAAACTATTCTGTAATTCATTTCAAATGAAGTTGGTTGGCGTTTCATTGACTCTATAGATCAGTTTTTGGAGAATCTTAACAATATTAAGTCTTCTTATCCATTAATGTGGAATAGTCCTTCATTGACTTACAAGAGAGCCTTGTAAGGTGCTGGTGATGCTTTTTATCTTAATATGAGGAGTGGTTACAAGAACATGTTCACTTTGAAAATTCACTGAGCTGTATACTTAACATGTATTTTATGTATATTATGCTTCAGAATAAATTGAGCCAAATTCATGTATTGAAGGTTTTTTTAAAAATTAACTTTTTTGGAGCAGTTTTCTGTTTATAGAAAAATTGAAAAGGAAATACAGAGAATTCCCATATAATCCCTCACCCTCTGTATCCTCCTAGTTTCCCCTATTATTAATATCTTGTGTTAGTGCAGTAGACTTGTTACAGTTGCTGTACTAGCATATTAAAAGTTTGCAGTGTTAAAAACTAGCAATTTCAGGAATTGTAGAATTGGTTAGAAAGAATCTTAGAGATGATTTGTCAACCACAAAAACTTTGCTGTGTGGCAAAGCTAAATGGGAACACATCTAAGGCAGAATCTTATACAGACCTTATTTTTTATAAAGTTTTTTGACTTTTATATACATACATCAGCTTTCTTTTTTTTTTTCTTTTTCTTATTTCAGTAGTTTTTTGGTTATAGCTGGTTTTTGGTTATATGTATGAGTTCTTTAGTGGTTACATTTTAAGATTTTCGTTACTTGGATGAGTTCTTTAGTTCTGAGATTTTGGTGCATCTGTTACCAAAGCAGGGTACACTGGACCCAATATGTGGTTTTTATCCCTCACCACCCTCCCAAATCTCCCCACAAGTCCCCAGAGTCCATTATCTCATTCCTATGCCTTTGCATTCTCATAGCTTAGCTCCCACTTATGAGTGAGAACATACAATATTTGGTTTTCCATCCCTGAGTTATTTCACTTAGAATAATGGCCTCTAGCTCCATCCATGTTGCTGTGAAATATTACTTTGTTTCTTTTTGTGGGTGAGTAGTATTTTTTTGTTGTATATATACCACATTTTCTTTATCTACTTGTTGGTCAATGGGAAGTTAGGTTGGTTTTAAGCAGTTGCAAAGTGTTCTGTTATAAACATGCGTGTGCCTGTATCTTTTTTTCAAAGAATGACTTCTTTTCCTTTGGGTAGATATTCAGTAGTAGGTTTGCTGGATCAAATGGTAATTCTACTTTTAGTTCTTTAAGCAATCTTCATACTGTTTTCCATAGTGATTTTACTAATTTACACCCCCACCAGCGGTGTAGAAGTGTTCCCTTTTTGCCATATCCACACCAACATCTATTGTTTTTGACTTTTTAATTATGGCCATTCTTGCAGGGTAAGGTGATATCTCATTTCGGTTTTAATTTGCATTTCCCTAGTGATTAGTGATGTTGAGCATTTTTTCATTTGTCTGTTGGCTGTTTGTATATCTTTTTTTTGAGAAATCTCAATTCATTCCCTTTGCCCACTTTTTGATGGGATTACTTGTTTTTTTTTTTTTTTTTTTTCCTACTTCTTGCTAATATATTTGAGTTCCTCGTAGATTCTGGATATTAGTCCTTTGTCAGATGCATAGTTTGCAAATTTTTTTTTCTACTCTGAGTTGTCTGTTTACTCGGTGATTATTTATTTCGCTGTGCAGAAGCTATTTTAGTTTAATTAGGTCCCTGAATTTAATTAATTTAGTTTAATTTATTTATTTTTGTTTGAGTTGCCTTTGCTTTTGGGAGTTTAGTCATGATTTCTTTGTCTAAGCCAATAGCCAGAATAATTTTTTCAATGTTATCTTCTAGAATTTTTATGGTTTCAGGTCTTAGATTTAAGTCTTTGATCCATTTTGAGTTGATTTTTGTATGAGGTGAGAGGTGGGGGTTCAGTTTCATTCTTCTACATGTGGCTTGCCAGTTTTCCCAGCACCGTTTACTGAATAGGGTGTCCTTTCCCCAGTGTCTGTTTTTCTATGCTTTGTTGATGATCAGTTGGCTGTAAGCATTAGTGTTTATTTCTGGGTTCTCTATTCTGTTTCATTGGTCTATGTGCCTAGTTTTATATCAGTATCATGCTGTTTTGGTAACTATAGCCTTGTAGCATAATTTGAAGTCAGTTAATGTGGTGCCTCCAGATTTGTTCTTTTTGCTTAGTCTTGCTTTGGCTATGTGGGCTCTTTTTTGGTTCCATGTAAATTTTAGAATTGTTTTCTTTAGTTTTGTGAAGATTAATGGTGGTATTTTGAAAGAATTGCATTGAGTCTGTAGATTGCTTTGGGCAATATGGTCGTTTTCACAATATTGATTCTTCCAATCCATGAGCATGGGATGTGTTTCTTTTTGTGTCATTTATGATTTCTTTCAGCAGTGGTTTTTAGTTTTCCATGGAGAGATCTTTCATCTCCTTGGTTAAGTATATATATTTCTAAATATTTTATTTATTTTTTACAGATGTTGTAAAAGGGATTGAGTTCTAGATTTAATTCTCAGCTTGGTCATTGTTGGTATATAGTAGTGCTGCTGATTTGTATACATTGATTTTGTGTCCTGAGACTTTACTGAATCCATATATGATATCTAGGACCTTTTTGAATGAGTCTTCAGGGTTTTCTGAAGGTATACAATCATATCATTGGCAAACAATGACAGTTTGACATCTTCCTTTTCAATTTGAATGCCCTTTCTTTCTCTTCTATAATTACTCTGGCTAGGACTTCCTGTGTTATGTTGACTAGAAATGGTGAAAGTGGACATCCTTGTGAAGGATGTCTTGTTCCAGTTCTCAGGGGGAATGCTTTCAACTTTTCCCCATTCAATATGATGTTGACTACGGGGTTTCTCATATATTGCTTTTATTACTTTGAAGTCCCTTCTATGCTTATTTTCTTGATGGTTTTTATCATAAAGGGATGCTGGATTTTATCAAATGCTTTTGTGTGTCTATTGAGATGATCATATCATTTTTGTTTTTGATTCTGTTTATGTGCTGTATCACATTTACTGATTTGACCATGTTAAACCATTTCTGTATTCCTGGGATGAAACCTACTTGATCATAATGTGTTATCTTTTTAATAACACATGTATCTGTGTTTCTGTGTATAGATTTTATCTTGTATACTCGAGCAAATTTTTTTAAGAAAAAAAACTTAAGGATAAAGTATTTTTTAAGGAAATATTTTCAAGAGATGGTAAACAAATGAAACCATGGATACCTTTTTGGGTCTTTTTTCCCTCTTATATTTACTTCAAAAAGGTATTTATCATATATTTTATGATTAAGTAAATTCAACTGTTTTAGAAAACAGGTTATGTCCATGTTTAACTATGTTGCAAGTACTAGGCAGTAAAGTAAATAGTAAATAGGTAGTTAGTAAATAGGCAGAATTACGTGCATAAGTTTCTGTTAAATTTGATTATTTTCCTTGGAGAAAGGGATTTAAAAATTTAAAATTTGGCTAGGTGCAGTGGCTCACACCTTTAATCCCAGCACTTTTGGAGGCCGAGGCAGGCAGATTGCCTGATGTCAGGAGTTTGAGACCAGTCTGGCCAACATGGTAAAACCCTGTCTCTACCAAAAATACAAAAAACTTAGTTGGGCGTGGTGGTACATGCCTATAGTCCCAGCTACTCAGGAGGCCGAGGGAGGGGAATTGCTTGAACCAGGGAGGTAGATGTTGCAGTATGCAGAGATCACGCCACTGCACTCCAGTCTGGGTGACAGAGTGACTCCATTTCAAAAAAAAAAAAAAATTTAAAAGCTTCGGCCTAACAGTTTGTTACCTTTTAATGTGAAATGATACACAAAGTTGGGTCAGCATACTGATGACATTTTTAAGGGTTCTTCCCAGAGAGTTCCCAATTCCCTTCATTTTATAGGTTTTACTGCTTTTATGAATGTAATAATATCCAGCAACCCACTGAGATAGATAAATGACATAATGAATATTATTTAAGGAATATATCTGTAATAAACTGTACCTACAGATATCACCTCTGTCTTCTATAATTACAACTATTAAAGCATCTCCCCATTTTATTTTCATGGACCCACCATCAAAGCAAGCATCAAGAAACCCTAATGTCTGGCAAGCAAGCAGGGAAGACTTTGTCTAAGAACTCAGAGGTCATCACATTTGTAAAGGAAAGGAGGCTATGTTTAGAACTGGTTTCTGCATATAGTCAGCCACTCTAAAATGTGGCTGATGGACGGAAGGAGATCCTTGTCAAGGATTACAATTTTCCATGACTCGGTGCTGTCTGGAACCTATATTCCATTTATCTCCTCCCATGTGTATTGTACTCTCAGGCATAATGGGCTCTTCTGAAAATAACACACATTTCCTAGGTTAGATAGTGGTAGAAGCTTCCTCATGTGAATATCATTTTCTCTTCTAGTTCCATCACCGGGACAGCTTCAGCACAGAGTCCACAGTGTGGGGCATTTCCCAGTGTCTGTCCGACAACCTCTTAAAGCCACAGCCTATGTGAGTCCAACCGTTCAAGGCAGCAGTAACATGCCTTTATCGAATGGCTTACAGCTATATTCCAACACAGGAATCCCCACACCAAACAAAGCTGCAGCTTCTGGAATAATGGGTCGCAGTGCACTCCCAAGACCTTCGTTGGCAATAAATGGGAGTAACCTGCCTCGAAGCAAAATTGCACAACCTGTTAGAAGGTAAGAATCTTTGTTTGTATAATTTCATTTGCAGTTTGGAACTAGAAACTGCTCCAGATACACACTGACCTTTCCTTTGGCTCAGTTTAACCTTAGTAAGTCACTACCCTTTGTGACCTGACTTGTGCTCTCCTCTCTTTGAAAAGTGATGGGTATCCCTGTGTGGGTCGGGTCTCCTTCCCTCTGCTGTCATACTCCCTCATCGTTATCACTCCTAACACATTCTTTGCTTTTGCTTTTACCAGATAAGCTCCATCTCTAGAGCTTTGTAGCTTTCTGCTCCCAAGTTACTAGCATGGCTTGCTCCGTGTCTCCTTCAGGTCTTTGCTCAGATGGTAGCTCTATCGAAAAATTGTAGGGTGGGGGGAAGTTGACTCTTAGGTTCATTGCTGTGTATCCCTGATGCCAAGAGCTATGCCCAGTATGGGTAGGATCTCAAATATTTGTCGATTAGTCATGTTTAATCAAAATATGAAAAAATGTGTCAGGTATATGTGCACATGCACACCCTCTTCCCACACATTTATGTTTTAAAAACCATCTTAATGACATTCAGCTGGGGCTTTATCAGCTTATGTTGGTAAGATCAGTATGGTCCAGGTAGAAATTTTTTTTCCCTTCAAAGTTTGAGATTACTTGCAGAGGCCATTTTAGCCCAGCTCTTGGTCATGATGTACCCTTCTTGAACTGGATTTCATGGAGTGTGTTATAGTAAAAGAAAATTCATAAAAGGGATGGAGGAGAGATTGGGAGATGAGGAAATAAAGATAGTGAATACAGACAACTCTTATAAGAAATTAGGATACGAAGAAGGAGAAGGAGCATAGTAAAAGTTTGAAAGGGGTGGAACAAGTAATTTTTTCTGTCTTTATGCACTTATGTATATATAAATAGTTTTGTTTTTTGTTTAGTGGTAATAGATGCTCAGATAAGCAACAAGTTTTAAAAAACAGAAACTATTGAAAAGTAGAAAAGTAAAGACTGACCCATAATGCTACTAACCCGATAGAAATCATCTTGGTACATGTTTATTTATTCAGTAAGTTTTGGCTTATTCTGCTTTGTAAATGCAGAGCTGTGTCGTCATGTTGATGGCTGAATGAAATCACATTATTTGATGTATATGGTTATTGTAGACCATTTATCCTTGAATATGTGCCTCCAAACTAAACTCTTGGAAAAGTTGTCACTGCTAGACTATATGAGATGGTCTCTTTCCCCAAACTTGAGCAAACACTGGGTATTATTCTTTTTAACAAGTTTTTTACTTTAAATTATTGATTTATTTTTTCTAGAGACTGGGTATTACTCTGTTGCTCGGGCTGGAGTGGAGTGGTGTTGGTCATAGTTTGTTGTAACCTCAAACTCCTGGGCTCAAGTGATCCTCCTGCCTTGCTAGGACTATAGGTGCATACCATCACTACCAGATAATATGAAAAAAAAAAAAAAAACTATAGAGACAAGGTCTTGCTGTCTTGCCCAAGTTGGTCTTGAATGCCTGGCCTCAATCGTTCCTCCTGCCTCAGCCTCCCAAAGCATTGGGATTATAGGTATGAGCCACTGGACTCAGCGAAAGAATTTTTTAAAATGTTTTGCTAATATGATAGGCAAATCTTCCATTACTAGTAAGGTTTTGAAGATTTCTTCATATTCATTTACTGTTTGTATTCAACAGAGTAACCATTTATGTCTTTAGGCCATGTTGCTAGCCAGGAGTCTATATTTTTCTTATTTTAAAATATGTTTTATTAAGGGTATTGATCACTTTTATTTATGTGGCAAATTTACTTGTGCACCTACAGCATGCATGACACTTGGCCGTGAACTGGAACTCTGGGAGATATGCATGCAGTGAAGACCCATAAGTGTGAACCACAAAATACACTTGGGGTAGTGCCAATGGCTTATCATTACTGCAGTGGAGGAGCCTAGATGGTAGAGTAGGTCTAAGTAAGTGATGTGGCACACAGGGTTATTAACAATCTCTCTCTCTCTCTCTCTTTTTCTTGTCTCTTTTTAGTTTTCTTCAGCCTCCAAAGCCTCTGTCTTCACTCAGCACTCTGAGGGATGGAAATTGGAGAGATGGTTGCTACTGATGCAGTTTTATGTACCCTTGAAAAATGGGAAAGAAGTAAATAAAAATGAGGGTTGTGTTACCTAGCTGGCTGGGTAACAGTGGATGTTGGGATATTCTTTCCCTTTTGTGTTTTAATATATTTACTGCATTGTTTCTCAATGGACCAGTCACCAGAGACTAATTATTGCACTTAAATATTTGCCTGAGATACTGCAACATTCTCAAACCCATGGTTGCAGTATTGTGACACTTAGATCTAGGAAGTTTTTGTAGAACTGCTCTGTACCTGAATACTTTTTGAGAGAATTGAAATGTATCAATAATGCTTTGCCATATGAGTTTTTTAAAGTAACTTGTTCAATTTACTTACATGTTCTAAACATCTTTCCATTACGTGTTCTGTATTTTAATACATTGCATATTGACAACTAGGTTCTATAATGTATGCTTTGAAATTTACTTTTTTATAGTTTACAGGAATTTTATTTTTTGTGCCTATTTCTTTTTACACCTATGTGAACCACTATGGAACAACTTAAATTTTGTGCCATAAAAATATTTTTGTGGTAAGGTACTATTTTTTTAGCTCTAGGGATATATCAGCAAAAATACATCATGCAGTTTGAGAGACATAATTTTGTGTTGAATGAGCACAACATAATTTGAGGCATTGCAAGGAGATAGCCAGACAGCAGCGTTAAATGGTCCTGTCTTTTTCATTGTTAATTTATTGTCATACATGGGTTTCATATTTATAACGACATCATGAGCTCATTGCACTTAATACCTGCAATGTTTGCTACTGTACCACAACTGATTTTCAATACTTTATTACAAAGGATGAAACTGTAATGTTTTATTAACAATGCTTCTGGAAATGAATGCATTTTAAAGCAAATAAATCTTTTTGATAGACCTTTTACAAAATCCATTTGCACTAATGAATGCTTTCTTATGGCATATAACTAAATATTTGTTACTGTGTACACTGCTGTTTTGGAATGTTCAGAAATAAAGACTCTATTTCAGCAATATCAGGTCATGCATGAGTGTGCAGCATGAATGGTATGACTACATGTGTTTCACTACAGTTGTGAAAATTGTTATTGTTCCTCTGTCCTTGTACAGGGCATTTATATCTCAAGCAGGTAGACTTAGAATATTCACATTTGTAAAATTATTTTTCTTTTCCCAAATACTCCTAATTAGAAATGTGAGATTTTTTTACATTAGTTTTGGTTAGGTAGTTTTACAGTGAGGTTTAGGTCCATTTAAAGAAGCCACTAAAACTCAAGCAGCATGTTGCTTGAGAAACACATTTACAGATGAACATTGTCAGTGGAGATTTTCATATTTATAGGAGTTGAATTTGAAATACTTTCTCAGTACCAGTAAAATAGCAAAGTGCTATTTCTGGGTTTTGGGGTTCAGGAGAGCCCTGAGCTCCCCTGAGAGGATGTTTCTCCAGGTTCTTGGTCTATCACTCTCTCAAGAATGGGAGAGGTACCATGGCACAGTGCGCTCGTAAAGTAAAATACTGGACTCAACAAGTGTTTGCAGAAAGTAATTTATTTAGGTAGAGAGAGAAAAGGGAGAAGAAGAGAGAAAGAAACAGCTCGCTCTGACAGAGTGAGGGAAAGAAAAGCCACTCTCACACTGAGTGAGAAGGGTTCCCAGAAGGGGGAAAACCAGAGAAGGAACGCTCCTCTCACACAGGGTGAGAGACTCCAGGAGAGGAAAGCAGCTCCACACTGAGTGGAAGGGAATTGAGAGAGAGATGGAGTTTAGGAGGGGAAGACAGGCTTCCACAAGAGAGTGGAAGGGGACTCCAGAAGGAAAATCCAGGAGAGAGAAAGACGGCTTCCACGAAGGGAGTGTTCATTGAAGGGGATCCAACATGGAGTCTGAAGGGGAATGGAAGAAGGAGGCTCTTAACCTGGGAGAAACCCCCACCTTCTCTAAGACTCCAGGCCAATGAAAGGAGTTCCTTAGAACTTTGGCTAGAGTGATTGACTTTGATTCTTCCCCTGCCTGCGAAAATTAAAACAAAAACTGTTAAATCTCCTGGATGGAGAGAAATGGGAGTTGGGGCATGGCGCTGGGAAGTTCTTGCCCTTAAACCTACGCCCCCTTGTGGACCCGGAAAGAGAATACATTCCCTCAGTACTATCCTTATTCTGCATTGTATTTGATATATGTTGGAAAACTTTACTTGAGGGTACTGTGGGAAGTTTAGACAAGGGTTTTTATGTTAGGTTTTAAAATGGAGTTCTACCTATAATCATTAGAGGTCTTTAGTTTTTTTTTAAGTGTGCCTTTGTATATAATTCTGTCTAGAACTAAAAGGACTGTTTAAATAACTGGCACTTTAAGTGAAATGTGAGCTAGAGGAAGTAAGATATAAAGAGGGAAGTAATATTAACCATGCCTTTAGTCAAAAGAACTGTGCAAGATGTTTTGTATGCATTTGTCTAGTTCTAACTTTCACCTACTATTATCACCATTTTAAAGATGAAGACACTAAGTCCCACAGAGGTGACTACTAGTCAGTTTTTGCATCACTATAAAGGAATACCTGAGATTGGGTACTTTATAAAGAAAAAATGTTTAATTGGCTCGTGGTTCTGCAGGATGTACAGGAAGCATGGTGACAGTATCTGCTTGGCTTCTGGTGAGGCCTCAGAAAACTCACAGTCATGGCAGAAGGCAAAGGGAGAGAGCTGGTGCATCACATGGCGAGAGCGAGAACAAGGGGTGGGGTGGGATTTCCGCACTTTTTAAAAAACAACCAGATGTTGTGTGAACTCGGAGCGACAGCACACTTATCACCCAGAGGATGGCACCAAGCCATTTATGAGGGGTCTGCCCCCATGATCCAGTCACCTTCCACCCGGCCCCACCTCCAACATTGGGGATTACATTTCAACATGATATTTGGAGGAGACAGATAGACAAACCATAACATTCTACCCTGGCCCCTAACTCTCATGCCCTCCTTGGACTGCAAAATATAATCTACTCTTCCCAACAGCCCCCCCAAAATTTTAATTCATTCCAACATCAAGTCCCAAGTCCTAAGGCTCATCTGACACACATCTCCTTCCACCTATGAGCCTATATTACCAAAACAAATTATTTACTTCCAAGACAATGGTGGTACAGTCATTGGGTAAACATTTCCATTCCAAAAGGGAGAAATTGGCCAAAAGAAAAGGAAACAGGCCACACACATGTCTGAAACCCAGCATGGTATTCATTAAATCTTAAAGCTCCAAAATAATTTTCTATGACTCCATGTCCTCCATTCAGGACACACTGGTGCAAGGGGTGGGCTCCCAAGGCCTTCGGCAGCTCTGCCTCAGTGGTTGTGCTGGGTACAGCTCATGTGGCTGCCCTCACGGGCTGGAGTTGAGTGCTTGGAGCTTTTGCAGGCTTAGGATATAAGCTGCCAGTGGCTCTACCATTCTGGAGTCTGAAGGGTGGCAGCTCCCTTCCCACAGCTTCACTAGGCCATCTCCAGTGGCAACTCCTCAGCAGGGGCCTCCAACCCCACATTTCCCCTTAGCACTGTCCTGGTAGAGGCTGCTATGAGGGCTCTGCCTCTGTGGCAGGCTTCTGCCTGGACACCCAGGCTTTCTGATACATCCACTGAAATCTAGGTCAAAGCTGCCAAGCCTCCTTCACTGTTGCATTCTGTGTACTTTCAGACTTAACACCATGTGGAAGCCACCAAGGCTTGTGTCTTATCCTCTACAAAGGCAGTCCAAGGGGTGCCTGTGGCCTTTGAGCCAAGGCTAGAGCCAGAGTGGCTGATATATAGGGAGCAATACCCTGAGGCTGCACAGCATAGTGGGGCCCTGGGCCTGGCCCCTTATACCATTCTTCTCCCATAGGCTTTCTGAGCCTGTGATGCAATGGGCTGCCTCAGAGATTTCTGAAATAACTTGGAGGACTTTTTCCCATTCTCTTGGATGTTAGCACTTGGCTCCTTTTCATTCATGCTGATCTCTGAAGCGGATGCTCCACGCCACTTGGATTCCTTCTCTACCACAGGGACAGGCTGTGACTTTTCCAATTTTTTTTTTTAGGCAAAGTCTTGCTCTGTTGACCAGGCTAGAGTGCAGTGGCATGATGTCAGCTCACTATAACCTCAACCCCCTGCATTCAAGTGAGTCTCCTGCCTTAGCCTCTGGTGTAGAATAGCTGGGACCAATAGGCATGTGCCACCACACTGGCTAATTTTTGTATTTTTAGTAGAGACAGGGTTTTGCCACGTTGGCCAGGCTAGTCTCAAACTCCTGATCTCAGGTTGATCTGCCTACCTCAGCATCCCAAAGTTCTGGGATTACAGGTGTGAGCCACTGCACCTGGCTGACTTTTCCAAATTGTATGCTCTGCTTCCCTTTTAAACATATGTTCTGATTTTAAGTCATCTCTTTGCTTCTGTATCTGACTATAGGCTGTTAGAAGCAGCCACAGCACTTCTTCAATGCTTTGCTGCTTAGAAACTGCCAGATATCCTATGGCATCTTAAGTTCAACCTTCCACAGATCCCTAGGATGCACAATGCAGCCAAGCTCTTTGCTAAGTAGCAACAAGGGTGACCTTTATTCCAATGCCCAGCAAGTTCCTCATTTGAGACCTCTTCAGCCTGATCTTCCCTGCCCATATTTCTATTGACATTTTGGTCACAAACTTTCCTTCATCTTCCTGTCTTTAGCTCTCCAAACTCTTCAACCTCTGTCTGTTACCCTGTTCTGAAGCCACTTCCACATCTTCAGGTCTTTTTATAGCAATTAATTCCTTGGCATTAATTTTCTGTTAGTTTATTATTATTATTTTTTGCATTACTATAAAGAAATATCTGAGACTGGGTAATTTATAAAGAAAAGAGGTTTATTTGGCTCACAGTTCTGCAGTGTGTACAGGAAGCATGGTGCCAACATCTGCTTGGCTTCCCGTGAGGAGTCAGGAAGTTTACAATAATGGTGGAAGGCAAATCGGGGAGCTGGTTTCTCACATGGTGAGAGGGAATGAGAGAGAGAGAGGGAAGAGGTGCCAGGCTCTTTAGGGCTCTCATGTGGACATATTACCCTGGGGAGGGCACCAAGCCATTCAGGAGAGAATCTGCCCCATGACCCACAAAACTTCCTCTAGCCCACTTTCAACACTGGGGATTACATTTCACCATGAGATTTGGAGGGGATAAAATATCCAAACCATATTAATGACTTTAGCCTTGGGTAAACATTTAGCTAGTAAATAGTGAAACTAACCTTTGAATCCAGGTTTATCTGGCTCAAGAGTCTTATTTTTCTCCACTACTATGCTCTCTTCCAAAGAACACATATAGTTGGTATATTTTTGAAAAATCACTTTTTATTTTGCAGAGAAAATTAAAGGATTCAATCCATTTTCCATTCAAATGTTTGATTCATATTAAAAAAGTCTGCTTAGCCCTTGTGATAAAATAACAAAGATCCCTTCATTTTGGCTTTACATTCTTGTTGGGGAGAGAGCATAAACCTTAAACAGGTAAGAAAATCACTGCAGGTTAGGTCATACGTTCTGTGGGAAAAAAAGGAGATCAAGGCAAGAGGAGTTAAGAGAGAACAGAGGTGGGGAGATATCACACTATTAAAATAGCCACCTTAGTAGATATTAACATAGGAGTTAAAGAGAAATTATTTAGGAAGTTAGTGAGGGAACAAGAGTCATTGGTAAGGTTTTTCTTTTAATGAAAAGGCAGCCTCCAAGTCTTTTGTTTTCTAACAAAAAGCAGCCTGAAAAATCAAGCTGCAATCATACATAAGCAAGCTGGAAGCTTGCATATGTGAATGCCGGTGGCTGTGTTGGAAGCATCCAGTATGGAGGTTTCCTCTTCCCTTTTCCTTGTTACCACATATGTGGGTGTCAGGGCACTGGCCTGGTAGAAACCCCATTTGTATAATAAAAGATTAGGGTGGGATGGCCAGCCTCTTTGAGGGCTATGTAAATATCACACCTCATCCAACCAATAACGTGGGCCTTATGC